TCTTTTATTGCTTGTTGTTTTCTCTGCAAGGGAGTGTTAGAATGGAATGGTATCTACTGATTTAAATACCTTGTTTGTGCCTTGTTTATACCTTGTTTATAGCTAGGCAAAGAGTACTTTTCCATTTTATTCCTTGGTGAATGGCATTCATCTTTTGATTGTTCCTGCTAACCTCTTGTGTAAACTGGATTAGGTAAACCCTGATTGCTTGCATCAGCTGGGGCTTTTATACATGTTTGACCTTCAAAAGGAATTTACTTTATATTTTTATGAAGATAGATTGGAAGAGATATTAAAAAAAAAAAAAAAAAAATTCTTTGAAGTATTTGGAGCATTTCTTAACAGACCTGGGACAGAGCTACTTTGGTCAGTGAGGCATCTCGGCATCATTCAGTTGTTTCTTCCAGTCTGGTATAAGGTGGAGGAAACCCTCTTCTGAGCTTGTTTCAGTGGCTGTAGTGCTCTGGTTTGAGAACACTGTGGGCACTGTGCCAGTTAAGAGCTTTCAAAATACAACACAACGAGAAACGTTTTCACATTTAATTAAGGCTGAGCAGGTCTGAAAACAAAGATACAGATACCCTACAATTCATTGAAACAGGACTTTTGATGCCTCTGGCTGAACCAACTTATTTCATTTGTTTCAGGGCTCAGTTTCTGAGGACAGAATAACAGCATGAATCAAGCATGGCTGAGAGCTTGGACTAGTACAGAACTGCATGAGCTTTTTAGCAGCTGGTACCTGGTTTGGCTACTGATACGGCCACCAGGTTGCACCCTGCTGACTGCACAGTATCAAGGGTAGGTGTCTGAGCCCTGTCCCTGCTCGGCTGTGAAGATTAGGGCTGCCTGTGGAAGCTTGGTGAAATCTCATGCAGGGAGGCCTTGAATTGTCAAAGGCAGGAAAGCTGAATTAGTGCTTTGAGAAGTCCTGAGGTGCAGGAGGGAGGAATGTTCTGGTAAAGGGTTCTTGTATTTCTGTCAGTGTACTGATTATGTGGTTTCGGTAGTAGGCTGCCTCCAGTACTGGTAATCCCACATCTTTCACAAGTATTCATGTCAGAAAATGATTATAATGCCAGGATTTTGAGAAGAAAACGGCACTGTTTTCAATCGCACCTTCTATTTTTAACTGAAATTTCTGTGGTGGGAGCATTTTTTGCAAAATAGTTGAGTCTATACAGAGCTGTTCAAACCAGGGCCTGTCCCATTTTCCAGTGGTGGTGGTGGTAAGCTGCTTCACACAGTGGAGATGTCATTTACACAACAAATTTGCTTTGTTAGTGCTGCATCAGTTGCTGGCTAGTGCAAGTAATGTGTTTACACGTAACAATTACGCAAAGAAAACAAAGCTTCACAGGGTTTCTACAGAGATATTCACTTGTGGGAAATGCGTGTTAGTGTAAGATTTTTCTTCTCTTGTTGCTTTATTTCCCAGATAAAAATCAGCTTAGTACCGTACTTAGCAATTTCAGAACAATCTCCAGCAACTGCTGTGATTAGAAACTGACAGCCTGGACATTCTTTTTTTGTTGTTCCTAAGCCTGAAGTTTGTGCCTTTTGCTCTTTAAGAAGCTAATTTTTGCCAAAGGAAGTCACCTTCTCAACATATGGTCATTTTCTATGGTGGCTTTTAAAGGGTAAGATCTTTTCATTTGTAGCTATCCTAAAAAAAAAAAAAAAAAAAAAAAAAAAAAGTTGTAGGCACTGTTGCTATTTGTTCTTTTCTTGTTGGTTGACTTTTAAAACTTATTTGAACAAAATGGCTTTAGAAAATGGATGGTTATCTTGATCCTGGTTGTCACAAGTCAGGAAAATGTCACTTGTAAATATTTAATGAGCCTTTGTGCAACTGACCTGATCAAGTACTGGGTAAGGACACAGTAATAGGAGCTGGGCTTCTGTAACCCGGATCTGTGAGGAAAACAGAGCACCTTTCCTTTGCCAGGCGTTCTGTGATTTAACTTATTTGCTTACATTGTAACTCACTTTTTTCTTTGATATTTAAAGTAAGTTTGTAAGTAATGTAGGGCTCATTGTTTGGAGCCCTACATTAACAGCTTCCTCCTCCTTAGCTAGTTTGGTTTTCTGTGTGGTTTTTCACTTGGGGTTTTCTGCTCCTTGCATAAAGGAGACAGAATACTGAGTAAAAGAAAACCAAGCTCTCCCCACTTCCCCTCAGCTGCATCTCTGCAGACCATAAAACCCCACCTTTTCATCTTTATGCATCTTGACACAGTTTTTTGCATTGTCCCCCTGTGTGGGAGAATGAGTTTGAACACAGTTGAGAAGTCTATGGTGACAGAAATGCTCACAGAATTAGCTGCATTGGAACTTAAAACTGCTACTAAATTATCACAAAGAGGAAAGTTAAACAGCTTTGATTTTCAGTATGCTAGTAACTATTGAAATCTACATTTTTAAATCCCCCAAGGAGTACAGGGAAAAAGGAGGATAGGTGTACTTGCATAACATTCTGGATGTTTTTGTGGTGCTATGTGTTTTCAGAGCCTATGTTTCCTGGTGCATTGTCAGCTTGTGAGCAGTAACATACAATGCGTGAGTGCCATCGCAGATGCTGATTAATACTTTCTGGGAAGAGTTAAATTTGTCACTTTCATCTCCTTTCTTGATGCCTTCTACATGCTACCAGTTTTTTTTGTTTGTTTGTTTTGTTTTGTTTTGTTTTTTTAGCAAGCCCAAGCATAACTGGTTCTGCAGCACAACACTTCAGGGTGGTCTACGTGCCATTAGTTGCCCCCATGCAGGCCAATTGGCTGTAGTTCCTCATGAAGTCTCAGGGAATTCTTTTAGAAACACTGAAACTCAAGAAATGAAACACAGCCTTCAACACTGAGGTAATAAGGCTGGCAAGGGATGTCTAGTTACCTTTTTTAGCCAGACATCGCCTAATGTCTGGCTACTAGTTACCAGTGTCTGGCTACTAGTTACCAGTGTCTGTCAGTGAATAGCCCTGGAAATGGGTCATCTCTATGTATTGCAGTATTTCTGTCTTTGATGGCATATTTGGCAGCAGTATGTACTGCAACAGCAGCTTTTCCTCAGTACTGGTGTTACAAGAAAGACCATAGAGAAGTGCAGAGGGTAGAGGGACATGATTTTTTGTGACAAAGGAAGTGTGGAAAACACTTGGGAAAAACAGCATGTTGTTTGCCCAGTGTGCCTAATTTCCTGTCATTTCTTTATTACCCAAGGGAAAATGACAGAATTACTTACTGTACAGCTTGTATTTCTTCCTGAGAAATTTGTTAGGATGAGAAATTTCAGATTGGCCTTTATGAGACCCTTATCCTCTGTGTTTGGAACAGATAAAGATGCAGTCACCCAGTCTCCACCTTCTTCCTTTTTTAAAGTGGCTTGTATTTGGTTGACCAGGCAAGGATGACTGTCTAGTCACAGCAGTATTTTCACAAGTGTTTAATGCCAATCAACAGAATGAGGAAGAGCCTTTTGTTTGGCTAGTTATCATGAGGCTGCATAAACTTTAAAAGCAAGAAAAATCCAATGAAAGCATGGAACTGACCTTTACCAATTTCACAATCTATGCCTCAGGGATGACACGATGTAATTGCTTTGACAAAAGAGCATGACAGTGCCAGGATGCACGAAGTGTGTACCTCTGGCTGGCCTTGCCAAAGCAGTAGGTACCCATTTCAGTGTTACGTATTTGGCTTTGGGTTCTCAGTGCTGCTGGGGGCATACCCTGGGTTGACTTGTTTCACAGTAACTTGCACTAACTCCCTCTTTGCAGGAGAGCTTTATTTGTGGCAGCTGGGGATCTTCCCTTCGTGTGTTCTTGACCAAATAATGCTGCCTTTGTTAAATTAAAAATGAACTTTCTTCTTTCGCTCAAGTCAAAACCAAAGAGATTAATACATCTCAAAGGGCAAACCCTGACAAAGTCACCATTATTCCTCCTCTTCTCTTTGCTGCTGTGCCCGATGGGTGATGGCAGGCTGCAGAGGGCTCACCCAGGCCCTGTGGGGAGGGTGGGGAGCTGACAGCGCAATGGCCTGTCAGCAGATGGAGCCCAGGGGGACGGCGGGGCTCTGGTTACAGCTCGAGCACAATGTGGGATGGTGTGCCAAGTGTTGGGCTGACCCACAGAGAAAGGCTTTGAGCGTGTGCCAGGACCTGGAACTTGGGCTGAAGAATCCCCAGCCTGTCGTATCGGAACCGTGTGCCATCCTTTGTTTTTAAAGGACAATGAAATGTCAACGTTGTCCCAGTCTGGCATGGAACCAAGGTTAAAGTACCAGAATTCTCTATGGATTGGGGTTCTCCTTGCTGCTGTCTGATTGGCACTGGGGAAGCAGTGCCGGGCTGTGAGCAGAGTCTGTGCTGCTGCAAATGGACTGGCTGCACAGAGATTGAAGGCACAGTTAATCTAAAAGCATTCTTCTGGGATGGGATGTCCTGAAAGATCTCTAACAGACACATGAGCTGTACTCAGCAACACCAAACTATGTATTTTGCCCTCAATGCTCTCTTTTCAATTAGATAAAGAGGTGAAGGGCCTGGCGGACTTCCCGCACCCGAAGCTGGACCGCATTCGACTCCGTACACGGCGCTAACCGGGGCCGTAGGCTCCATAGGGGCCGCGGCCGTTCCTCCGCCCACACGAAGTGGGAGGGCCGCCTCACTCTGGCCGCAGTCTTGTCGCTGTCTCATTGGCTGTCTTGCCCGTCGCTCCTAGGAAGCCCCGCCCACATTCCCCAGCTGGATCCGTGGGGCCCTGGGGGCGCAGAGCGCCGATTGGGGCGCGGTCCGCCGCCCCGCCGCGCTCCTTAACCCCCATTGGCCACGTGGGCGGCGGGGGCGGGGCCTAGCGGGGGCGCGGCTCGCAGCTGGCGGGGGCGCCCCGCCCGACCCGGCACTCCTGGCTCCGGCGGGGAACGCGGCCTCGGAGCGGCGCCGGTAGCGGCGGCGGGCGGCCCATGGGAGTGGGCGGCGCGGCGTGAGCTCGGGCGCGGGGCAGCCGGGGCCGCCATGGAGGTGTGCGAGAGCGGCGAGCAGCCGCCGCTGCTGCATTGGGATCGCAAGCTGAGCGAGCTGTGCGAACCCGCCGACCCCGACACCCTGCTGGGCCACACGGTGAGGAGGGCAGGGGCGGCCCGGGGTGGCGGCTTCAGGCCGGGCTGGTGGGCCCTGCGCTTGTTGCGGGGGTTCCGTAACACTGACTTCGGGAATAATGGCTTCGGGAGCTCTTGCGCTTTCTTGCACGACGTGCTGCTCCTGTTAGATCCACCGAGTGCAATTGGATGTCGGGCGGTGACTTTTAAAGACCCACCAGGAGCTCTTGGCTGTGGAAGGCCCTTCCTTCAACAGCTGTGCTGCGGTGGACCTTTCTTTCCTTCCTCGACAAGGCAAGGAGGGGTGTTGTGGTGAGATGAGATGCCCTCTGGGTGCTCCAGCCATGCCATGTGGTTGGGATCCCTGGGAGAAGAACCATGAGCCCACTTTTCTCCTAGTTCACAATCTCCTATTCCTTTAATTAGTGCCCTGAAACAGATCTGGTGCTTGCGGCTGTGGTTGTACACAAATGTGTCACTGTCTTGCTTTGGGGAGCTGTGACTTGGTTTCAAGTGTTGCTTGGCAGACAGAATGCCCCATAGTTGCAAACAGGGTGGCTGTCCCACTGCTGTTGGGAGTTGGAAGCACCAAGTGCTACCTTGAGCTGTGTTCACGAAGTCTGCACTGACATGGGCTGTGAGCCTCTTTGTTGGGAGCCACTTTCTACCGTTTATGTTTGTCTGTATGGATTTTGGCTGATTTTCTCCTTAGGTGCTTATAAAGAAAAAACTTCTTTAGGGGCCATCTTGAAGTGTAATAAAAAGCATGTAATCAATTTAGCTTTTGTTGTTTTTGGAAGAATTCCAAGAGAAGCCATCCATAAAGAAATATCAGTGCAGCAAAGCACCGTGGATAAGGTGGATGTAGTGGGGTGCTGGGAGCTTCAAGGGGGCAAAAAGAAAGCTTTCTGAAATGATCACTTTGGGGGAAAAAGCACAGATTTCCACACATTGAACTTTATTTCTTCTGCAAAACGTGTGTTGTTCTGCACGAAGCAAAACAGTGTGCTTGACATCATGAAACACAAGCTCTCCATTTATGTCTGGCTAAAGCTTCATAGGATCATTGAAATGAAAGCAACAACAAAATCAGTAAAAACCACCACCCAAAAAAAAGCCCTCTAGATGAAACATCTGTTATTCTCCTGCCTTCTGCTTTCAATGTGGGAGGACTTGTTTGACCCAGCTGGTTCTGCTTTGGTTGTAAGCTTGTTTGCTGGTGTTACTGAAAAGAAAAGGATGAAGGGTGAAGAGCTGAGCCTCCTATGTGCTGTCTGTGGCATCTTCTGGCCCTTGCATGATTCTAAGGTGCCTTGTAGCTGTGGGTGCAGCAGTGCAGCTGTTGCTTTGCTCAGAGATGCACGTTACCATGCAGGATGGACCAGTACTGATGCCTACGGATCTCAGTCCTTCAGCAGTGTGAAACTGGTGTCCTGGTGTTAGATGTGGGTCTGTCTCTGCCACATACCAGGGTGTGCCAACCCTTCTGGATGTGCTTGGGAAGAGCCATGAGGTCCAGCAGTGCAAGCAGGGGAGGCAAAGGCAGAACAGCTGGTTAGCATGCATGGCTGCAAGAACAGGGATTCACTTCCTTCTGCAGGCAGACCTGTGTGTGCACATAGATTTCGGGGGGGGGGGGAGGGCAGTTGTGTAGCTAGCTGTCTTTTGTGTATTTTAAGTTAAATTTTAACCTTTTAACAACCACAAAGGCTGCACATGGTATGGTGGATTTGAAGCCTATCAGGCAAATGTGGAAGTATGCATATACTTAAAAACTCAAATGCTTCTTTAAGCTGTTCCAGCCTAATTACCAGGGCTGAATTCCAGCCTTTTCCTTTCAGCTGGTGATTCAGCAGTACAGATGTGAGGAGGTGCCAGACAGTAATCAGCTACACTGGGAGAAATGGGGACCTCAGGGGACTCAGCCTGGGATGGAAGGGTCTCATTCAAGTCTGTGTGCTTTGCAGGTGTACTTGCATGCTAGATAGCTTGGTAGCAGGTGTTTTTTTTTTTCCAGAGTGGTTGTGTTTCTTGTGGAAGAAAGAACAGGATTGGACAAGAGGGAATGGCCTCAAGTTGCACCAGGAAAGGTTTTCAAGTTGGATATTGGGAAAAATTTATTCTCTGAAGGAGTGGCAGTGCATTGGAACAGGCTGTGCAGGGTGGTGGTGGAGTCACCATCCCTTGAGATGTTGAAGGAAAGGGTAGATGTAGTACTTAGGGGCATGCTTTAGTAGGGAAATATTAGTGGTAAGTGGGTGATTGAACGAGATGATCTAAGAGGTCTTTTCCAACCTTAATGATTCTATGAAAAATGTTCTAAGAAAAGTCTGAAAAGCTTCCCAAGGGTTTGTTCACGTATGATGTTGTCTGCCTGTAATCTTCAACTCGCCTGCAGCTTGCTAGGCTTGTGTGTGGGTAATGTTGTACCCTAGCATTTTGCAAGGCATTATTATTGGAAGTTTTTTTTCTTTTTCCTGGCAGTCAAGCAGTAAGGGAGCACACAGCCTGCTGCAGCCTGGAGGGAGCAGAAGCATGACAGGCTGCAGGCTCCTCACTCCCTTCTCTGCTGCCAGTGAACCCTCGGTAGGCCCCAAGCAGGTGGGCTGGGGCTGTGTTCTGGGCTGATCTGCAGCAGATTTTTTGTCCTTTCCCAGCATTTTCTGTCTGTTTTTAACACCTTAGCTACTGGCTGCTTCCAATTGAAAGTCACCCAGGTTGCATACCCTTGAGCAGGCCTGACGTTGGAGTGTTGGAATGCCCCAACCAGCACGTCACCAGTGCCATTTTCTGAGAGGCATTAGAGCTCAATGAAGCTGCTGCATCAATGATGCCACTCCAGGCACCTCACCCTCGGACTGCACATGCAACATGAACATTTGGGTTGGTGGCTGCATCATCACCTCCCCATTGGCCCTGAGAGCTCAGTGGTGGCGGTTGTCATCTGAGATGGGTTGGGAATCTTGGAGCCAGCCTTCCTCCTTCAGATAAAAATTGCCCATTGCAAGCCTCTGAGCTCCCTAGGAGCCGACGGTGACTCATTTCCTCTGCCACAAAAACACCACTGGCTGTTGCTCCGCATGCTGATGATTTCTGCAGAAATGGGGCATCTGAGTGAGCTGTGGATTGCCTGCAGTCTTCAGAGCCACGGCACTGGTGACGTTTAATTGCAATGGAACACAGCTCTTTGATTTTACAGTGTGTATTTAGTTAGAAGTTGTGGTTAGCACACAGCACGTGTGGCTGTGGGGCTGGCTGCGTTTTAATCTGTGGTGGTCGCCTGTGCATAAGGTAGCTCTGTAAAACCCGGCATCTGTACAGGCTAATCCTATTTATTGTTTCGTTTTATTTTGGTGGGGAAAAGGTAATTCATTTAGTTGAAAGTGGGGTTTAGCCTGCTGCTTGCTAACAAGGAAACTGAAATCTCTCATTTTTCCATCCCTGTACACCTGCATATGGAGGACCAGATGGCTAACTTGAGGTGGAAAATGTGTAAAATCAGTACGTCCGAGGATTATTGCCAAACTCTTCCAGCAGAGAGGAGAAAAACGTGAAAGTGAGATTTTATTTTTAAGTAGTTTGTATACAGAATTTGTGCAAAGTGTTAAATTTTGAAAATAACTCCCCATATGAAAAGCATCAGGGTCACAACTGATTAGCAGCAGAACAACTTGTACTTGGTGTTCTGCACCAAAAAATCATTTTTTCCCTTTCGTGTTTTCTTCCAAAATTTAAATACAAATATCATTCCTGTTTGCCAAGAGACGTGCCAGCTGCTCGTAATGGATTTAAACAATCTACAGTTTCTCTCAAAGCTGAGATAAACACACATGTGATGCTTTGGAACTTTTCTCCTACCCTCATATTTTCTGATAGTTGAATTAGAAAAATAGTGGTATCGAGTTGCTGGCTCGTTGCATTTGGATTGTCTGTAACTGTATAGAGAAGAGCTAGATCTGCAGTGAGGACAGCAGCTGGAAAAACTGTTAGTCTGTCCTGGGACTGACTTTAAAGCTTGGTAGATTAGAATGCGCCAGTGTTTAATGTATGAAAACACTTCTTTTTAGGAGCATGCATGTCTGTGAAGAAGGCAGATTAGCTGTGAATCCAGCTGGGTCACACAGCATGGTCTGAGGATGCTGTGTCCTGCTGCCTTTCCCAGGTGCTGACCCCAGCTACAGTTGTGTACAGTCACCTGCCTTCACTTTGTCCCTGTGCAGCGAGAGCTGGTCACCCTTGTGCAGACAGCAGCAAATAAAATAAAGATAAAATAAGTATAAACATAAATCACATAGGTCTGAGGCCAGCATGCCATCAGCTCTGGCTGTCTGTCTTTGTCTTTGCTTCTTGTTGCCTGGCTGTCACCTGCAGCATCCCCTGCCTGCTGCAAGCACTGCCATCTCTCTGCTTGGCTGATGTGGGATGGAAAGAACTGCTGCAGGAAAACATCACTAGGTGAGACTTAGCAGTTAGGGGTAGCCACCTTTTGCAGATGGATTAGCTTAGCTCAGTGACATGCTCCACAGTCTGTACTGTCTGCCTCCCATGAGCTTAAAGCATCCTTCCTCTAAGTTCTCCCGTTCCTTGGTGCAACTTTTCATTCCCCATAGGATATGAATATGGGGAGTATCCCCCTGGGGTCCTCTTGCAGAAGAATTCTGCACCTGGTTTTCTGGGGATGGCACATTTCGTGCTGCTGCTGCTCCCTGAATCATGCGGGTGAGATGATCAGGGCTGTCTGGATACCCTTTGGCTGTGTTTTTTTTCTGGGTGACAAGACCTGACAGTGCGGTTCTGCACCTGGATGTAACCGCAGGCTGTTGCAGCAGCTGCCTGAGAGCTCATCCTCTTGAAAAATGACTTTCTTGCATGACAGAAAATAGTTTTCAGCAGTAGGTTTCCTGATGCAGCTTGCTTTGTCGCAGCTCAGGCAGGTGGGAATGCTTGCCTGGGGAAGAGACTGGTGGAATTGCATTTTGGGCTGAAGGAATGCACAGTGGAAGTAATCTGTCCAGCTTCAGG